TAAAAAAAAAAAAAAAAAAAAAAAAAACCGGGGGAAAAAAAAAAAAAAAAAAAAAAAAAAAAAAAAAAAGTATAAACATTTCAGAAAAAAGCAAAAAAACAAACAAAAAGTGGCCTAGTAGTGATATATAATAAATAAAATGAAATGATTTCAGAAAACTGTGAGCAAATGAAAACAAATATGTAATCATTAAAGATACGGTACAAGAACAGGCTGCCCGCCAGCGAGGTGTTTAAGAATGACAGCAGTGTTTTCTCCCATCATGCCTCCTGATAACCTCTGAACTCTGCAGCCACACACTTCCTCTGCCAGCTTGGCCATATCACTAGCTAAATCAAAACAGAAAAAACAAACAAACATTGTAGCATTTAGAGTCTCCTGTTTAGAAAGCCACAAATACTCTTAAAGGGATAGTTTACCCAAAAATGAAAATTCTGTCATTAAAGGGGTCATATGATGCGATTAAAATTTTTCCTTTCTCTTTGAAGTGTTACAAGCTCTTGGTGCATAAAGAAGATCTGTAAAGTTGCAAAGACTAAAGTCTCAAATCCAAAGAGATATTCTTTATAAAAGTTAAGAGTCAGCCACACCTACCTAAAACGGCTCGTTCTAACACGCCCCCACATATCTATGTCACGATGTGTGAAGCTTTGCATAATGCCCGCCCAAATGTTCACGCAAAGAAAGGCGTAACTTTTATTCTCACTGTATTATTGTTGTTGCCGCCACCATGTCGTGAAGGCGCTGTGTGTTTCGTTGTCAGATTCCATCAAAAATATCTTAATTTGTGTTCCGAAGATGAACGGAGGTCTTACAGGTTTGGAACGACATGAGGGTGAGTAATTAATGACAGAATTTTCATTTTTGGGTGAACTAACCCTTTAACACTAGTTCCTGTTTCTTCAACATGTTAATGCTTAATTCCACTAAGTTGCATTTAGTCCACGTATGACAGTTACATTTGAAAAGTCAAGATTCTGAATAGATGACGTACAAGCGCTGCTTTATATAGAGTGGGAGCCCCTCATATTTCGCCCGCTTGAACGCCATTGGCCAGTTTCACTGGGAAATACACCAACTTCGGACTGTCGCTCGCCGGATCGGCTTTCACCGTGGATGAAGCGGAGTCCAGCCCGGGGTCGTCACATGTGGTTGCCGCAAGCCCGCCAGACGCTCCTCACTCTAGCCCGCCATTTGTGACGCTGTGTGTTTCGTTGTGAAAGCGAAACTACTTTGTTTGGTCTTCCAAAAGAGGACACGACTAGAAATCAGTGGTTAAGTTGTATTTACAACACTGTTCCAGAACAGTTCAACCCAAATATTCAGATGTGTGCAGCACATTTTATGGAGGACTGTTTCCTGATCCTGGGAGAGTAGACTACAATCCCGACTGTTCTGACTCACAGACTGTAAGTACGTTTTCATATTTAAAGAATTTGCCACTGATGATTCAAACACGAGTTTTGAGCAGTGTAGAGTAGCACTTGTGTGGTACAGCTGACACAGAACAACATACGCTGTTTGCGTTCAGTGTATACTCTCCAAAATGGCGCTTGGGTGACGCGGAGGAGATGAATTGTTGAATAAAGTCGTTTTTTTTTTCTTTTCTTTTGCGCACAAAAAGTATTCTTGTAGCTTCGTAGTATTACGGTTGAACCCCTGATGTCACATGGATTATTTTACCGATCTCCTTGCTACGTTTCTGGACGTTGATCGTGGTTGTGCCCTTGCTGTCTATAGGAGCGTCAGAGAGCTGTCAGATTCCATCAAAAATATCTTAATTTGTGTTCCGAAGATGAACGCAGGTCTTACGGGTTTGGAACGACATGAGGGTGAGTAATTAATGACAGAATTTTAATTTTTGGGTGAACTAACCCTTTAACACTAGTTCTTGTTTCTTCAACATGTTAATGCTTAATTCCACTAAATTGCATTTAGTCCACGTGTGACAGTTACATTTGAAAGTAGTGGTTTACCAAATACCAGAAAACATTTCCCCTTGTTCAGTGTAGCCGTTGTCTTTTGCCATCTGGACCAGTGTCTCCAGCACCACCGTCTTAGGAGGCTGCAGAAGATGAGTCGCCATCCATAAGGCCACAAGACCACATCTGAAGATACATAAGAGCAATGATATATCATCCAGCACTGCACAAACATGCAGCCACACAGACAGAAAAACAACACCAATGGACCGATATATTGTCAAGGCAGGTAGGTTTTTCTGTTTGGCCAGTAAGTGTCAGAATATTTATGTCATATTCGCTGTGTACACTATGTAAAATTTGCATTAACAGATCTTTTCAGCTCTTCACTTTATCAGTGTTATTTTAGTATCACTGAGATACTATTATAGTTTTTAATTAATATTTTGAATTAGTTTTTATTTTTAGATTTTCCGTTTGGGTGTGTTTCGTTGTGAAAGCGAAACTACTTTGTTTGGTCTTCCAAAAGAGGACACAACTAAAAATCAGTGGTTAAGTTGTATTTACAACACTGTTCCAGAACAGTTCAACCCAAATATTCAGATGTGTGCAGCACATTTTATGGAGGACTGTTTCCTGATCCTGGGAGAGTAGACTACAATCCCGACTGTTCTGACTCACAGACTGTAAGTACGTTTTCATATTTAAAGAATTTGCCACTGATGATTCAAACGCGAGTTTTGAGCAGTGTAGAGTAGCACTTGTGTGGTACGGCTGACACAGAACAACATACGCTGTTTGCGTTCAGTGTATACTCTCCAAAATGGCGCTTGGGTGACGCGGAGGAGATGAATTGTTGAATAAAGTCGTTTTTTTTTTCTTTTCTTTTGCGCACAAAAAGTATTCTTGTAGCTTCGTAGTATTACGGTTGAACCCCTGATGTCACATGGATTATTTTACCGATCTCCTTGCTACGTTTCTGGACGTTGATCGTGGTTGTACCCTTGCTGTCTATGGGAGGGTCAGAGAGTTGTCAGATTCCATCAAAAATATCTTAATTTGTGTTCCGAAGATGAACGGAGGTCTTACAGGTTTGGAACGACATGAGGGTGAGTAATTAATGACAGAATTTTCATTTTTGGGTGAACTAACCCTTTAACACTAGTTCCTGTTTCTTCAACATGTTAATGCTTAATTCCACTAAGTTGCATTTAGTCCACGTATGACAGTTACATTTGAAAGTAGTGGTTTACCAAATACCAGAAAACATTTCCCCTTGTTCAGTGTAGCCGTTGTCTTTTGCCATCTGGACCAGTGTCTCCAGCACCACCGTCTTAGGAGGCTGCAGAAGATGAGTCGCCATCCATAAGGCCACAAGACCACATCTGAAGATACATAAGAGCAAGGATATATCATCCAGCACTGCACAAACATGCAGCCACACAGACAGAAAAACAACACCAATGGACCGATATATTGTCAAGGCAGGTAGGTTTTTCTGTTTGGCCAGTAAGTGTCAGAATATTTATGTCATATTCGCTGTGTACACTATGTAAAATTTGCATTAACAGATCTTTTCAGCTCTTCACTTTATCAGTGTTATTTTAGTATCACTGAGATACTATTATAGTTTTTAATTAATATTTTGAATTAGTTTTTATTTTTAGATTTTCCGTTTGGATTTTAAATTTAGTTAAAATTGTTGCAATTTTGTTGCGTTTTTGTCATTTGTATTACTTTGTTAAAATATATATATATATATATATATATATATATATGTGTGTGTGTGTGTGTGTGTGTATAATTTTTAATACAGTTTTAGATTGTTATTTTAGAACATCAAGTTAAACTAAATGAAAATTGTTGCCTTGGTGACAAATTTATAGAAGAAGTGTAGAATATGATTCCCATTTTGAACAGACTTACAGCACCATATTTGAGCACACTGTTGGTTACAATGCTTACTTCATTTTTTTTATATTTGTAACGGTTTCTTTATTTATGCAAAATACTATAATAGGATTACATAATCATTACATAATCAATAAGTTGCTTAGTATTAATCTCTATGATTTCCAGGTTTATTTTTTTATCAAATTCAAATGATTTCCCCCATTCTGATTCGATTTCAAATTATTTTTTTCTAATTTAGTAAATATTATAATACAGAATTATACATTTTATTGCAGCACATGTTTTTGCTATCTTTAAATGAAATAGTGTGATATCATAGATGTATACACACACACACACATATATATATATATATATATATATATACACACATACATACATACAGTTGTGGTCAAACGTTTGCATACACCTTTGCAATCTGCAAAACGATCATTTTTCCAAAATAAAATGGATCATACAAAATTCATGTTATCCCTCTTATTTCGGTAAAACAATTAAGATTTTGCAGATTCTGCAAGGTGTATGTAAACATTTGACCACAACTGTATATATCAGCCACCCTGCTCTCTAAAATATCAACATTAACCATTAGGTATTTTTACGGAAACTTACTGTGGACCATCTTGAATAAGTGAAGGCACATACTTATTGAACAGCAACCACTGCAGATCCTTCCTAAAACTTCATGGAGAAATGTTGAGAAATGATGAAATCGTGATTGTACAAAAAAAAAAAAAAAAAAAAAAAATTGGGGGTATAAAAATCGTGTTTTTAAAAAAAAAAAAAAAAAAAAAAAGTATTCCGAGTATAAAATTGTAGTTTGTACTCACCTGCTTTCTCTCTGTCCTAGAATAATTCTGGCCTCTTCCTGGTCCCCTTCCACAGGGGCCCTTCCCTCTGCTAAAGCCTGGTAAAGCTTCTTCTTGCTGGACACTGAGCGAGCCAGTGAAGGAGGTGGAGGTGGAGGAGGAGGAGGTGCTGCTGCAACATTCTCCACTGACATGCTGCTCCAACAGATTTTCACACTGTGGAGTCAAAGAAAGAAATAAGTGAAAACCAATAGACAACATGCAAGAGTATTGTGATTTACATGACATGGTGACACAGACGTGTACATGAACGTTACAATGCAGGGTCCCACCAAACCGATGCAATGAATGCACGCACTAATTATATAAGCATTCGCAAAGCTCCACGAACCCACATCAGCGTCCAAGAAGTTATTTCACCATCTACTAGTAATTCTCTGTGAAGTGCAGCTAGTCTGGGTAGTGTTCTCTATTTAGGGAATACCAAATAAGGTAATATACTCCCATGGTCGTGAGAAGCAAAACACAAAAACACATTCAAAATACATAAATATCAAAGATAATAATATTTTTGAAATGTGGCGATGGCGATATATTTTTAATCAAATCAAAAGGGCATGCTTTCGTTTGTGCAATTTATATATTTCCCATCCAACGACGTGACAGCCGGACAGAAAACAGCGTAACACGACCAAACGCACCAATCGGTTCATAGACTGGCCTGCTCTTCTCTACAATAGCCAATGAGAAAGAGCTTTGGTAGTCGGGTGCGCTGGACAGACAACCAATCGGCAGGTTCGCCGGGAGACCAGCCGCTGTCCGGTCGAAAGTCGCACGTTCTTTTTGTGTTCTCCTGCGGTTTCTTATTTAAGTGTGTGGTTGGTAGTGATGGGAAGTTCGGATCATTTTACCGACTCTGACCTTTGAGTCTCGTTCAGCAAAATGAACGAATCTTTTTTCGAGTCATTTCGTTCATTTTAGCAAAATATAATTCAAATGTTACGTGTTACTTCCCTAACACATCTACTACTTACGCAAACGCTGATCACACTACAAACAATACAAAAGTGCTATAAGAAACAGAAAAGATTAATTCATTGTAAACTTACCTGGGCCTTCAGTCCATGATTAGCTCACCTCACCTCTTCTCTGACAAGTCTTCGGGTTGAGTCGTTCGTTCATCACGTGACAGCCCCATAAGCTATGGCTTTAACCAGAGCCGGAGATAGAGAGAGAGAGAGAGAGAGTTGCGACAACTCCGTTCACTCCAATGGACCAGTTTTTTACAGCAATGGCGGATCGTGGAGCCGCTCAATAGTTCCCGGATGTTAGCGCTCATACTATCAGCGCCGTAGATATGCAGCAGAAGAGACCGCTGTGATGAACTTTTAAAAGGCAAGACATTTATAGAACAAAAGAGTATATTATCAGCACAGCTAATCAAATTACCCTGTGCATTAAAACAGATTATTCCTCACTTAATTAGTAGATTTACGGGATGTTATTCATTCTCTTCATGCAGTTTCATCCATCGTTGTGTAATTAAGGCTTTTAAAAGTGATTTTGCTGGTGGGGAGTTATTTAATAGACTTGGATATATTGCAAAGGATGCAGATGGACCTAAGTGAATTGCTTTAATTTGTTAATTGTTTCTGTATATATTTAACTGTTTCTGAATACATGACGTTACTTAACTGCATGATTTGTATAGCCTAATTTTAGAACATTTCTGCCATATGAACATTACCAATAAGAGTTCTGTTAACAGGTGTAACTGTGCCAAAGTAATGTAGAAACATTCATTTTCTGTAAAGCTGCTTTGAAACAATGTGTATCTTAAAAAGTGCTATACAAATAAATGTCAATTGAACAAAACGTGATGCATCATTTTTCCCCTCCTCTCCAGATCAGTAGGGAAACCATACATTCACACTCCTTTCTGTGAGTGACGAGCACTCATAATGCAGCACAGCAAACTATAGTGGAGACTGTTTAAGGACAACATGCTTTATAGTTTATTATAAATGTATAAATCGATTGCTGTAAATAAGTGCGTAACAAAAGTCAACATACATAAAATATATGATTAAAGGTGTAAAAATGTTTTAAGTTGTTTGAAATTGGAATATACTACAAATATATTTTTATATATTATTTACTGAGGGGTGCACAAGAATCAAAAACATTAAACAAGATTAGTTTTCACTTAAAATATCTTCATTTATTTGGAATGAATTTTCTAAGACAACAAACTTAACATTTACCATGAGATTAGTAAAACGACAATGAACGGGTATATTTGTGATTGAACTTGACTAACAAGCAAGTTGTAAGAACACACACACATATAATTATATTTATATAGAGAGGCTGAAGTTACCTTGGCAGAAGACCACGATGTCGTTTGGTAACTTAAGCCTAAAATATGTTAACAAGGCAGGTAAGGATAGCTGACCACATTAATCCTCAAACACTAATATAACTACATATATATACTACGTATACATTATTTGATAAATAATGTAAATACATTATTTTATTGTCTACTAATTACCAAAAATCACAGTTCTGTCTCTCTAACTCAATGTATTGCACTTGCCCGCTATGAACTTCCTGGAACTATTTGAGGTCTACGTTAATCACGTGACGATCGAGCGTTTGGATTGGCGTTGATGCAACTCTCTCTTTCTGTGGCTCTGGCTTTAACCAATGCAGTCTGAGCCGGAAAGAGCATTGATTAGTTCATCTCTCGAGTCTTTCGAATCGTTCGTTCTTTTGTCACGTGACCTGACAGCATTGGCTAGAGAAATTAGTTCATTTACAAGCTTCCTTACAACCGGGCAGTGTTGGGCAAGTTACTTCCAAAATGTAATACATTATATATTACTAGTTACTGTCTTTTGAAAGTATTTAGTTACATTACAATATTACTATCTCTGAATTGTAATGCATTACACTACTTTTGAGTTACTTTCACCAAAAGAAGTGTTATAAAATGCCAAAATGTAGTTTATTGCTGGCTGCTCATTCTACACCCAGTGGAGGTTAATGTGGTAGGTCTATATAGCATAAAATTATAAAATCATATTTAGATACCGGTATGTAGGTCTACATTAATGCTACGTTGTAGTTTAGGTTAGACACAGATAAGCACAAACCGCATTATTACATTTATAAATAACACCGGTAGATAAAGTGTTATAATGTACAAACAATAAACACAATACCTAGCCTATTTTGAACGGTTTCAGAAGAAAATAATGAAAAATATAAGTTGCTAAACAAGCCAAAATTAGGCTAATTCAAACGGCGGTAAAGTTAGTTTGACGTTCGTTAGACATTCGGGTTTTTTGCCAATTAAACTCTTTGCGGCTTTTATGTTTTGAGCCCAAACTAACTCAGATAGACATAAATATATGCCCTTTGTGTTGCACAAGGCTTAAATTCTAGGAATTAAAAAAAAAAAAAAATTACCATTTAAATTAATTAAACAATTTAATTACATGACATTATAATATAAAACCAATACTAAAAGGTTCGGGAAAACATACCGGTTATCGCACAAAGCTCCGTTTTTGGAATTACAATTTTATGTTTTTTTAATAATTTTCCAACTTTTAATGTATGCATTAATATAAATCCATTAAAGGACAACACTTGAAAAACTTGTCACATGAGCAAGTGTGTGTTTGGCCCGAGCTCAGACTGAACGGCACGGATTGTACGCAGTACGCACTATTGAAATTAACCAGTGCATCTATATGTTTGGTTGACTGACTGTATTTCATTCTGATAAGTGTAAATTTACCAATAAAAAACCCAATTTTATGGTTTTGTTGACTGAAATATTTATATATATTGACAGTATCAGAGACTCTGTGAATAAGAAAGCTGTAAGAACTTTGAAAGTTTGTGAACTTTACAATATATTTATTTGATTTTATATATACGTACAAGTGTATGTATGTATGCATGTATATCTTGTATTTTTGTTTTGAAGTTTTATACTTTTCTCCCCCTGGCAATTGTTTTTTGTTTGTTGTAATTTGTTCTTCTATCTTTTTCTTTTCTTATTTTAATGTTGTTTATTGTGTGTTATTGTTCCTTAAATTAATTTTTTTTTATTATTAAAAATAAATGACCAGGCTGCAACGTTTGCAAAGATGTAGGCTGTGTGTGCGCGTGAGGCGCCGGCGCGATCGAACAGCGGAAACAAACAAACAAAAATATTCCGTCATTTTTGGTCATACAGATCATTCGAGACTGCAGTGTGCTTACTTTCATTTCTGTCATCTCGGTTTCCTTTCCGTGGACTTTCGTAGAGCGCAGCGCCATACAAATAGCCTGCCAAACTCAGCAGAATATCTCTCAGTCTTCTCCTTTCCTTTAGTTAATCTGTTAATTAGCCTATTTAAGGCTGATTTATACTTCTGCGTCGGACCTACGCCGCAGCTTACGCACACCCTACGCCGCAGTTTACGCACAGACGCACACCCTACGCCGCAGCTTACGCACAGACGCACACCCTACGCCGTAGCCTGACGTGCACCTCTCCAGAAATCTAACAGCACGTCAATTCTACGCAGACCGCAAGCGCTGTGATTGGTCTGCAAGAACCCCTCCCTCCATATGTACTTGAGTTTTGTGTGTGTTTATGTGCACTTTAATATATTTTAATGTTACACCTTCTTATATAAAATAAAACAAAGCAAAGAACAAGTGTCTTATCATTTATTATACTACATAGCATTATACATCAGTAGTTGTCCGCAACAAACAATGTTGATCCGCCGTGGTACAAGTCCTTGAAGATTGAAAGAATGCCATCTTCTCCTGTTCCGTTGTTGTCTCCTTTTTGTAG